GTTTGGATTGTCCGCACAGCTTCATACTGTTACGTATGCTGTTTAAATTAGTAACTGCAGATTATCTGTTAATATTTTGGTCGTGCGATGGGCACTAACCCCTTGATCTATGGTTAATTACCAATTGCTCTGTCACAGACGAATGCCGTTTTTCTAGGTTCTTGAACTTCTTCCTGACTACTGGTCAGTGGTTACAATGAAAAGACTGATTCTGAGTTCAATGCATATGCTTCAGACCAAGAGTGTTCGTTCGTTACAAGTGCAGAACCTCACGCGTCGTATCAACGTCGACCACTGCAGCGCTCGAATGCGGCTTAGAGAAAAACTGATTCGCCTATCTGATTTAAGGTAATTGAGTCATTTGTTTCTTAAGACGCGACTCTCGCTGGACAAACCGCACATCACTGCTGAATATCACTGCCAACCAGATATAACGTTGCCTGGTTCCACATGATCTTTAACAGTGGTGCAACTTGTTACATAACGTCGTCATACTTTCAAAATGTTTCGTAGACAGCGTTGTTGACTATATTCAATGCATTTTCTGATGATCTGGAATAGGACAATGATTGTCACTATGATTTTGATGGCGCACTTTCTGCGATACGTAACTTAAGAAACGCTCTTATAGACTTTTACCTTTTTATGGCTATATTTCAGTCGATGCTCGAAATGTGGCTATTTACTGGGTGGGTCAGCCTTTGAAGTGATTGGAAATTCGAGTTTACCTGCGCATGTGCACTGCTTGAAAATGACCCCCAGCAATAACGGCACAGTTGCGGAAGAGAAATAAGATATGTGATATCAGTATCCTGTCATATTTTATATATTTTGTAAAAAAAATAAATTTGGTCCATAAATGGAATCACATTTGTAACAAGCGAACAATATTTAGGAACTCTGGTAGTAAGGATGTTAAGAATTTCACAAATCAACACAACTAACAGTCTATTGCACTGGCATCACCACAGAAATACACTTTTAGATTAATAATAACCGCACTGCATAGAATTTCTTCACTAAATCAACTATGTGCAGCACTGGTACCAGCATAGCGTCGTAGATATGGGCAGATTGTTGGAAGAAGAAAAGTGTTGAATGATGATCGCTAATCACTGACGACGAGGTGATAGTGGAATCAAACAGATGAGTAAGGCCACAGGCATGTACATAATAATGCTACAGAGGCACATGCAGAAATATCGTAAACGGTTAGCCACCGGCGACACTCATTTCAGAATAAATGGACTTATCAATTAGTGTCTATACATTTGGCAAATGCTGGCAACATTTTCCCATCAGGACTGTCACTATTTACAGGTTCTCGGCTATTCTGAACTTCTCCTTCATGCTGACAGCTTCGCTCTTCTTATCGACTTTCTTGTTTCTGGATAGTTGTTGGCGCAACTCAGCGGCACTCATCGAGAACATCGCCGGAATGTCTGTAAAACATGAAAAATACGTCATCTGCGACCGTAGCAAAGACGAGAGTAGCGTTAGCTTACCCTTTCTGGGACTGTCTTCGACGTGTTTTTCAGCATAAGTGGTCGGCTGAGGCGGTTCGTTATGCACCTGAAAATCGACCGTGTTTAATAACACACTACACTGTATCTTACTGAAGGGAAAACAGCTTATCTTAAATCTTAAATTTAAAGGTTGCTCTTTAATTCGCAGTCGTTATGGAGTGATTGCGACTGTCTTATTTTGTACTTAAGTGTATTTTAGGTACCTTCGCTGAAAAAATCACAATCTCATCAAGATGTCACGATGGTAAGGTATTATGAGTTTCAGTAATTGCTTGAATGGAATCATCTGCAAATCCATTTCTCAGCATAATTCCATGTTCATTTAATGATCTAATGCAGAAAAGTTTATGAAAGGATGTAGATAGTAAGAGTATCTGCGCAGCGACGAAACAGAAATTCGCTAAACGTTCCTGAATAATAAAAAAAATTAAGCGCATCTATCAAACGAAGACCGCAGGGATCTATGCTTTGGTTCACGAATTAAAGTTAATAAGTCACTGTTGTTTTCACAAATACTTCTTTCTTGTTTAAATTTTACCTAATGAGGGAATATGCAAAGCGATCGTCCATAACTACCTTGCGTCACAATGTGGAAAGCCACTTGTAGGATGGATGAAACTTGATGTGGTTATCCTTATTATGCCCCGTTGCTTAGAACACAAATTGTGGCTTTGGAGGGGACCAGATCAAAAGATGTTAAAGTTACATTTCGGCTGCAAAGGTGGGTACACTAAAACAAAGGGGACAACAGTAGGTTAGTCGTGAAAAGGTCTGACAAGAATTAAGATGCAACGAAACAGACCAAACTGAGGTAATCCCGTGTTTCTTCCTGACCATGAAACTTGCTACACAGTCGTTGTTATGACGCCTTGCAAAATCTTCATCTTCCATCACCACTTTTACTTTCGGATCGCGGAGGACGACGCGTTAGTCAATGCTTCCAACATTCCTGATCCTGTGCCAAGGCCCAAGCTTCGGCAGAAAACGACTGGATTCTAGAACAGGCTCCTTCCATATATTTACTTCAGGCTAATTTAGGCAGGTTTCTGTGCCTCCTGGCGGTCTGCTGGGCAAGAATTCCGCTTTCCTTTCTGGAGACATTTGCAGCATGCTCAAAAACCATCGCAGCTGTGACTTCCCAATCTGTACATCAAAACGTTTGCGGATTTCTAATCAAAACACTTACGGCCAGCTACTTGTCTGCAAAAGCTCATTTCAGGCGCTTGTACCAGGCATCGAATTTTCTACCATCATT